AAATTTATGTACTTTTATTCATGTATTTTTTGGGACTGCCATAGTTCTGCAGCCGATTAAATCTTATTTCCAATCCTGTTAGGGCTGCATATTATTCATTCCATGAAAAAGAAATGGAAAAAATTCTTCTCTAGAAATACTGTTTATCAATGCAACAATGTGTAAGTTAAAATGAATTGTGTGTAAGATATATAGTAGTTATACACACATCTACATGTGTAAATATGCAGATCTCTGAGTGTTTAAACAACCTCCTGGTGTTTTTATTTTTGATATCATTCTTCCCTTCCCTGAAATAGCCATTTCCTAAACCAAAACAAAACATAATTCCTTAAACTAGTTTTTCCAACTCTGAACTTTTGAAGTCTCACTTTAATAGATTGGTGAATTTTTCAACAGGACTTACATGTTTAAGCCTAAAAGCTTCCAGAAAGTTTAGAATAACATTCAGTTAAAGCTAAGTCACATAACTCCATAGACAATCAGACAGCATCTCCCCAAAAGATTACAGAAAACTTTAACTATCATCTTCTGATATAGTTACCAGGAAAAGCAGAGGCTAATAAAAACAAAATTCTGCCTTCAATTTACTGCAGTTCCAACCCTACAGAGAATCACTCCCCTCTCATCACCAAAACAATAATACCAAAGGTACTTAAATATTCAGCAGTAAAAAATCTAATCCCACTTTACAAGTGATTTGCTTTTAAGCCTCCACATTACTGCCATGCTTATGACAAAGAGCAAGCTTTCAGTTCCTGCAATATTTTATGTTTCCCTTTAACAACCTAAGCAGAACTAATCAAGTCTTTTCACCTGATTCCCAACATTTTGACTATCTTATAAAGGGTATTCTGCAGTATTTTGTAAAAGTTAGTATGTTACTCCTCCTTTCACATATCCTGAGATGCCCAGAACAGTAATATGATGGGGAGCAATCCACATGGTAAAATTGCATCATGAAAAAAAGTAGAGAGAAAGTTACCTAAATTCTTTGTATTAAATTTAAGGTGCTGTATGACTATTAGAAAACACTTTATGCTCAGCACACAAGAAAATGCAGTCTGATATTCCCTTTCCCCTTCTATTAAAAAGCACTGTATATTTAGTTATATTTTTTGATATATTACATACATTTTTACTTTATTGGTGTCGTACTTTTGATTTTCTTTAGTTGTCTACATATTGCTATAGAGAGACCAAAAGAGACAGCAATGCTTCTAAGCCTTACTGGTGTTCGTTCTATAATAGCCAACCAGTGGTACACTACCTTGCAAGAGAATGCAGAAAGGCTAGAAATTTTGTTTGAGAGTAAGTATTTGTATTCGTCTTCATTTGCATGTGTATTATTATTTCAGACATTTGTATGTATGCACTCATGGAGTGTGTGTATCTACTTGTCTCCCATCTCTCCTCTTTCTTTGCTCCTCACCAAATTTTGGCTGCAATTTCCATAGGAGGTAAACTGCATACAGGAGCCACCGTGTTGTTGACAGGTTGATCTTTCAAACAGAACAGTAACCTACTTAAATTAGTTTTGGGGGTCTGTGTGTTTATGGTCATATGGTGAGAATAGGATTTCTGTGGTGAGGAGCAGTGCCCTAGGACTTGGCAGTCTGTAGTTACATAAACTATGGGGAAGACAAAAGCTGGAGATAACTCACATCTTCAGAGATACAAAACTAAATCTGTAAAGGTATCCTTTTTCATTAAGTTTTAAATGTGAAGACACCAGGCTGTATGGTTGATATTTTCTTGTTTTTCAAATCTTTCATTGAGAACTCACAGAAACTAACATTTCTTTCCAGATTTGTTGAGCATTGGTAGAACAACTGGGCAGACAGTCCATATTCTTCAAAAGAGTGAGATTCACAGGGAAAGGGATTCCATTAAAAGTAAGAATTAAAAAGCTTAGTACAAAAGACTGGCAGTGCATGTTAACTAGAACCTGGTAGACCTATGGGTAGTTCACAGGTATAAGTGAAATCTTTCAGATGAGCTATGACAAATTTTTGTGACACTTCTTACAAGAATTGAGAGTGGGAAGACCACTGATACAATATTATAATTGGAGTAGCTGTATTTTACATATATAAAATTTTTGGGGAGACTTTGTCATAGCTGACCAAAAGCTAAAATTTATGCTCCACTGAACTGTTATAAAATGAAGTAGTGTGACTGAAAACATACATCAGGAGCATGACATGAACAATATAAATGGTATGGATTATAGACTGGAAAATGGTAAGTTGAACCTGCAGTGATCAGACGGTCTGCATTGTAAAGGGCACACTGTATATACGAAATTCCTTGTGGGAGAGGGGAGAAGGATTTTTGAGTAAAACAACTTTTAATATACTGTTTTTAAAATTATATAGATATTTTTCTTTGTATGAGACTTAGCTCTTAAAACAAGGGTAAATAAAATAAATTTTAATTATAACTTACAGTGTCATAGAATTGAGGAGAGAGAGAGTTCAGATCAGAAATGTTGCCTAGTTTTCTGGTTTTTTAGAAAATGCTTCTTGGATATAGTGGCAGTTATTAATATTATAAAAAGAATGTAAAAGAACCGCAAATATTAATCAAAGAGAAGACGTGATAAATTACTGCACTTAAAGCATTCTTATATTCAGTTGTATTCAGAAATAATAATGTTTTTAAAATATTTTTATAGTGGAAGTGGATTCTCACAGTTCTCCTAGAGACAAAGCAGAAGAACAGACCATTCACACTTCCTCAAATCTTCCTGCAACTCATCCATCATTTTTTAATTGTGTGCTATATGGTTTACCCAACATAATTATTAGGTAGTTTGTGTCAGAGTTTTCATACTAGGAATACCACTACACTGTGCATAGGGCACACTTTGCATTTAAAGGTGTGGCAGATACTTATTTCTATATGGCCTAAGGAGAGGTGAGCTTAAGAAAATGTACGTTTTGCTGATAGACTGATTTCTGTTTCAGATGTAAACAGTTTGATATTAGAATAAGTGTCAGGACAATATCAAAGAACATTTCTTTTAGAGATTTCAGTTAGTACTCTAAGGTTTTCTGAACTCAGTGAATCTCTTCAAAGAATTTGGTGAGTACCAACACATCTTAAAGAAAATTAGGCTAGTATTTTTGGGCATTGATGCATGAGTGGAATTGGAATGTATCATTGTCAGTATTTACATTTGGAAAAACTTTGCCTTGACGTATTTTATTTTTACATGGAAGATTTATCAGGAGCATAGCTGAAAAATTTACCAAGTCACCTTATTCTGAGTGAATTGATTTTTAACTTTTAATATAGTGGTAATTGTAGTTTAATTAGAAAACAAGGTAATATTAAAGAAAATGTTTAATAACTTTTGCTTTCTTTATTTCCCTATAGTTTTCCTGAATAACATACGAAGATACATTCAATTATTCCAAAATCCCAAATAAGATTATTACGTGTATAGGTTTTGTAACATGCTCTTTTAATCAGCAATGTATTTTTAAAATACGTACTTTAAAACTTTATTTGTAATGATAATGGTAGAAATAAATGTAAAATAATTTAGCACTTACGGAAAATACAAAGTTTTGATCATTATTGCAACTAAAACCATTTTAAGAGTCTCTTTTTTCATGCACACAATAGAATATAAATTTGTGCTTCCTTCCCCCTTGCTCTCACAGTAATTAGATGACTATATAGACCATAATTACAAAATCATGACATGCAAAATACTTTTTTCATGCACACAATAGAATATAAATTTGTGCTTCCTTCCCCCTTGCTCTCACAGTTTAATTAGATGACCTTATATGAACTGCAGCTGCTCTGTCAAACTGTGTTCCATAACATGCATGATTTTTATTCCCTTTATATGTAATCTTCTTCTTTATTTAGACATAGGACATATTTTTTATGGCATGTATCTGGTCATTCAGTAACAATGCAAATTAAGTAAAGAAGAGATCATAGACTGTACTTAAGTTATCCAGCCTGAAAATTAAGGATTCAGTGTAAGGTATTTTCAAGTCTCTGAACTTGTTGCCATGTTTCACCAGATATTGGCATGAGTCCCTTTCCCCAAGTTCTCGCATTTATTTGTTTATTTATTTTTAGGTCTTAACTGGGTACCTTTTCGTTGCATCACTATTATGCAGCTGCTTTTTTAAAATCCCATGCATGGTATTTGGGAAACTCAAGTATTTCTGAGTTTGAAGAAGCAATTTCTCTTGAATGAAGCAAATGTCCACACTTGTTGTTCAGTATAGCAAATGTGCACTATATTGTTAATTTCTTTAATAATTTCCTAGATTAATTTCCACATCATTCTCCAACGCATTCATTGCTATGAAACTGTATTTCCCTGCTGTTAATGGCATTTTTTACCTGAAATGCCATCTTTCTAGTGCTATCTCTTTTTCTGTAACGTAAAAGGCTTTGAAAAAAAGTGGATTCAATGGGAATCATGAAGCCTTGTCTGCCTTGCTACATGACAGTTTTCATGAATTTGTATTAACTTCCACCTTCTTGAAATAAGAAATTTCATAAACAGTGAAGTCCAGAAAAGTTTGAATGCTTCAGAAATGACATTGTTGTTCTCTGAGAATAATCCAGGATAAAAACTGCAAGATTGCAAAGGTTAGAAAAAACATTGATATCCAGGTACAGTGGGCTTATTCAATAGTTTACTACTGTGGTTTTATTTATGAAACTGATGGAAATAACTTAATCTACCAAAGTGTTTTTTTCCAAAAATATTCCCATTTGTATTTGATACTTTAGCCCTAACTACATTGCAACAACCTCTGTCAAGAAGATGAATGAGTATGACCAAAAATTTCTTTACAGTCTGACAGCACTACTTTATCAGAAAGCATTGATAAAGAGTAATGGCCTTATCCAGGAAACTTCAGACCTGTAAGCTTTACTTGTTGGGAGTAAGATACTGGAAATACTAATCAGAGAAACTGTGGCAGAATACCTACAAATGGGCTATGTATGCTGGGTAAGTACAGTAAAAGTAGATGGTATGCATAATTACATAATATATCTGATTGGCATTTCTGAGGCATTAAAAAATAATTGACTTAGGGCCATGAAGTGTAGTCATAACCAAATTGCCTGGGGTATTAGGAGAGTATTCTCTGTATTACTGTGCTAAATACCAGTCAGTAAAATCAGTAGTAGTAGTAGGACTGCGTGAGTAGATGATAAACTGTACTTTAGGTGACAGTGGATATGCACTCAGTGACATAAGAAGACATCTAGTTCATTCCTTCAGGAATTAGTACTGGAAATAATATCTTCTTTTCCATTATATGTTTGTAGCAATGTGCAGTGACATGATTGTACAAAAGTAAAGAGTCACTTCAGGAAAAGATATGTAGTAGAATTTGGAATGATTTCAAAAGAAAAAGAGCATAGACAAATTAACTTCTTTTATATTTCTTTTAAATTTACAATGTCAATTTAACGAAGGAGAAGAACCTGCTTCTTATACAGAGGAAGGATTCAGCAGCTCAGCTGATACAGTTTTAGAGTTCAGAATGCTTATCTGTTAAGGACAGTGAATATGAATGGAACTGAGCAAAGAAAGGTTGAGAAGGAACATTGTAGAAAATTTCTGTTTCAAAACCTTATTTGAATAAGCCTTATTTGAATAAACCTTATTTGAATAAGCAACTAAAAGCTTAAAATTTTCTGATATTCTTCAAATTGTGATTGAAAGTTCAGGCAGAAGGACTCCTCTTTGAGGACAAAATGAGTTTTAATTAGGAAACATAAAAAGACCCTACTTACAGTTAATGATAAATGCACTGTAATATGCCTAATGAGTCTTGGCATTTAAGAAGCTAAATAAGTCCTAAATTTACATCTTTGTCACACACACAAACATTTTCTGCAATTTAGAAGTTTTTGCAGAAATGTAATAGTTCTCACTTAAGAATTTTAGGGTCAGCCAACTCTGTTCCAAGAAATGGGACATGACAGATAGTTTAGGGCATATTCACCAGACCAAATTGAAATGTTTCCATTTATTGTTGAGTCATTTGGCCATCAGCTGAGAATTATAAGGCAGCACCTACTCAGGTGGAGTCTAGAATTAGGGGAGAGAGTGGGATTGAAAAAACAAAAGAGAAAAATATAGTCATACAAGGTACCATACTGAAGGTCTTCATTCTTTAACATTGAGTATGAAATGAGTGGACCAAAATTTCCAGCTGCAGATACAAAAATGGAATTAAGACTGTTGATTTCATGTAAGATTTTGTATAGAAAGAGTACTCCCTAATAATGGCAATGGAAATAGTCATGATGAAATGCTGATGTGATTATTTGAAACCATTCATTAAGTACATATGAAAAGCAAATTCAAAAAGGCAAGTCCTAGTATTAATGTTGTGTAAGTAGAATCACAAGATGGTTTGGGTTGGAAGGGACCTTTAAAGATACCTGGTCCAGCCCCCCTGCCATGGGCAGGGGCATCTTCCACTAGATCAGGTTGCTCAAAGC